TGGACCAGGCATCACTGTCAACTGACGAGTTGGCATTAGCAATTGAAACGAGTTTGGCATCCCTAATCCAGAACTGTGTTAAGACTATAAATGATAAATGATAATACTTAAGAACTTATTAGGATGTATCTGACGTCTGACTGTTATGTTAGCTAAAGATGAAAAGAGTAAGAACAAACAACAATGGTCAACAGAGGAGGAACCATGGCTTAACAGTCCCTTGAGAATGGATGTATAATTTCTATTGTAGGAAATCTTTCAAAACAGAATATAACTATCAACTTAGATGCAGAACCATATTAAGGCAGGAACCTCACTTAATATCTTCTTTGTCCCATGATTTTCTTGGTGCTTTGAGTTTAAAAACTATTTTAAGCTTCCTTATTTTAATGGAGACCATCACAGCTCCGCTTCAATAATTTACCCTTGAATTTTATTCTCTCCTTAGCTAATTAAGTACCTGGATGTCATTGTCTAGTCTGTGAACAGATATGAAGCTGACATCTGGAGGATGTCAGCTATTTTACCTATTGTTAATAGATAAAATCTAACCATGCAAACTTCGCTTTTAGTTACTGGATTTCAGCAAATTTTTAGTAAGTTATTGCTGGTTTTAAAAGACTCCTGAAAAATTAATCAGATTAATTCAAGCATTAGGAATTTCTGAATAAAGTATTCTGTACAGAGCTAAGAATAAATTAACCTTTTACAGTTTATCTCAGACATACTTGTTTGAGAAATTGAGACTTTTCATTCTGTGTACCCCAATCCCAGACAGATTATCAACATTAATTCAATCAGCTTGTTGATTCTTCAAACACAAGTTTCAAAATATGTATTCTTTCATAACTCTGGATATTAACTTTGAGCTTTCAGCCATTTACTGTTTAGAGTAGTAAACTGATATTTTAAATCACTCTATCCTGGGGATACTAAAATAATAGCATAATTTTGGAGTCAATAAATTGTGGGTTATCTGCATGGTTTGTTTCATAGATGATTGGAAATATTTTAAATGTATTTTTAAGGTCAATTACTTTTTATATTTCATAATTTCACTCTTCACATCTAGGTGAAAGATCAATCTAAAATCCTTCAATAAGACACATGAACACAAATATCACTTATTAACACATATCCATAATTTTGTACCACTTTATTTGTGAAGGCCGACCTACAGCAGTGAATTATTATCATTATCAATTTTATGATTTCTTGCCAGAATAAGTTAGACAAGAATTTTTACAAATGCAGACTTAGCCTGCTCCCTGCAGCTGCAGTTTGGAAATGTCAGTACATGGGAACCTTCCAGTGTCAATCATCATCACTACCATTTTGGAATACTTGGATTTTGATGAAAAAAATACCCAGAGTAGTTGTTGAAATCTCTATAGACTGAATGATACTTAAAAGAAACTAGACACACAGGTGATGTGTTTCCTCCCACTTCGGGCTGCTTTACTTATCAGCTTGCTGTCACACTTACCCAGCCCCTTGAGTTCACTCCAGGGAAATTTTGTTTTAATACCATAATAACCACAGATGCAAGTTGTACATGTGGGAGCAGCTTCTATCTGAAGGAAAATAGTTGACATTGCACTGGAAGTTAACAAGAATCCACACCCCCAGAAATCTTTATTTGATTCCTTTGCCTTCATATCTGTCTTATGTATTATTATGTCGTCTATTGGATATGTTTTTTAGCTGTTTAGGCTAGTGAGTTTTCCAGTTGAGCCTTTAACAGATAGTGATTCTTTATTATTATTTGATCCTCTAAGAAAATGTTAGCACTGTGCGTTTGTTACTGTAAACAAGATCCTATGCAGAGCCAGTCTTCAACCTCTGGCTGTTGAAAGAGAATTAAAGTATAATGTGTAAGTGTAAGGGTGGTATGATCACAGAGCAGAGGAGAAAATATCACTCCAGCCTAGAGGAATGTGTCCTTGTGTTTTTAACAACCCACTAGCTTTCCACTCTTAAGATGTTTGTGTTGGGAATCACAGTGGATATTCATCTTGTAAGTTAACTATGTTGTGTTAACTGTTTTAGTTAATGTTTTCTGGGAGAGACATTATTTTACTTTCATTGCTCTCCCAAACCACACACTAGTGTGGTTTTTTCAGGAATGGCAGCAGCAACATTTTTGAGGGATTGTTAGGTGTAGATGTTGAGGCTACACTGTTATAAAAGCACATCTCCTCCTATGGAAAAATGAGATCTTTCTGGGGAATAAATATTGAGAGATAATAAATACTATCCACCAGGAACTTAAATTTCTGTGGGTCTATATCATATTTCCCTCCTTTATGGGAAAATGTACATAACACAATTTGCCATCTTTTTCAAGTGTACAGGTCAATGGCATTAAAATAACATTGTTGTATAGCCATCCCCACCATCCACTTCCAGAACTCTCCTTGCCTTGTAAAACTGAAATGCTACACTCACTAAGCAACAATTCATTTCCTTTACTTTCATGTTCTTTCTAATTTTTTTTGTCTCTGTGATTTCGACTCCTATGATATGAGAATATAAGTGGAATTGTACAGTATTTGTCTTTTCCTGACTGGTTTATGTCACTTGATAGAATATTCTCAAGGTTCACTTATGTTGTAGCATACGTCAAAAATTCCTGCCTTTTTAAGATTGAATGATCCATTGTATTATATGCCATATTTTCTTATTCATTTGCCTGCAGATGGACACTTGGATTTCTTCCACGTTTTAGCTATTGTGAATAATACTAATATGAACAGCATGTACAAATATCTGTTCAAGATCCTACCTTCATTTTCTTTTTTAGCAGTTTTCAAGTATATCATTTTTAACTTTGGTCACCATAATGTACAATAGATCTATTGGACTTATAACTAACTGAAATTTTGTTTACTTTGACCAACATCTTCCCCAATCTTCCCCACCCCCCTCTTATAACCACCATTCCACTCTCTGCTTCTAAGAATTCAACTATTTTAGATTCTGCATACAAGTGAGATCATGCAGTATTTGTCTTTCTGTGCCTAGGTTATTTCGTTTAAGAGGAAGTAATTTGACTGTAAGTATGAGGGTTTATCTCTGAACTCCATTGGCTTATACATCCTTATGTCAGTGCCACAGTACTTAGATTTCTGTAGGTTTATTTTTGAAGTTAGGAACTCTGAGTTCTCCAACTTTATTCTTTTAAATTTTTGTTGTTGTTTTGCTATTCAGGGTCCTTTTAGCTTCTGTATGAATTTTAGGATGGATTTTTCTGATTCTTCAAAAAGTGACATTGGTATTTATCACCAAATGTGGAAAGCTTTCAGCCATTATTTCTTTAAATGGTCTGTATTTCCCTATCTTTCTCCCTTCTTCCAGAACACTGGCAACATGTATGTTGGTCAACTTGCTAGTATCTCCCTGGTACCTTAGGCTCTGGTCACTTTTCTTCAGTTTCATTTGTTATTGTATTGTTTTTAGCTTCAGAATACCAAATACTGGGCAAAGAGCAGAAATTGAGTCAGAATTAAAAGCACAAAAAGCAGAATCCTAAGGAGAATTTAGGACAAAAGCAGCTCAGGATTTTGTGAGGAGGCAAGACAGAAACTTAGGAGTTTGTGAGCTCTGTTTCAGCCCAGCCAAAGGAGGAAGTTTCTTTCCCTGCTGATATTAACAGCAAATCAAATTCTGAGCCTGATTTTAATAGGAATAGTAAGGTGTATGGCCATTAGCAATTTTTTCTTTGCGTGAATTTAATGGCCATACATTAAAGTTGTTATAAGGGCAGCCCGTTTTATTTATTTACAAGATTTGTATTTCAGAACACACTTTTTGAAATTTGTGTATTGATGAAAATGTTCTATATCTGCCACATTTTAAGAGCTCCATAGCCATATGGCCTTGTGAGTAGTGGTTACCATATTGGGTAAAATACTAAACACAGATTCTTATTTGGTTAGTTTTTTTTAAAAAAAAACTTTTAAAAGTACTTCATGCACATGTGAAAATATTCAAAGTGCTGACAAAAGTCAAAAGTGAAAAGTGAAGTATTTTTCTTTGCTTTTCTTTAATCTCTTCTCTAAAGGTGTTTTATGTTAAAAAGTTTCTTTTGCATCATCTCAGGAAAAGAAAAAGTATAACCAACTCATCTTCATATAAACATTTTGTAATTTGTAAATTACAAAAACTTGAAGTGCTACCTTGTATCTTTTTTTAAAAAAAAATTAAACCTGTATCTTAGAGATCTTGATGAAATACTACATTTAGCTCTACCTTACTTTTTTTTTTAAGGTTGCACAAGGCTCCACTGTTTGAAAATGGGTTTATCAGTTCTCTATTCACAGGCTTTTACATATGTCCAATTTCTTGCTATTCCAACAATGCTGTAATATATTCCTAGCAATGAAATTGTTAGATTAAAAGATAAAAGCACAATCTCTTAAAGAGGATCTTAATGATTTTCCATGATGAATGGATTTTCCAGGCCAGGAGAGAGTACAGAATTTGGGACTTGGACAGATCATAAACAATAAAGCCCAGGAGGAAAAGGAACTAGAGATAATATAAAAAGGTTAAAAAAAACCTCTGGCTGTGTGATAGCAATGGGAAGTAGTTGTATTAATAGTTTTAAAAGTGGCCTTTAAAGTTTAATTGGTACAGTTCTTCCTAGGAATATTTAAGAACAATACTTTAGATGTAACTGTGCTTTATTTCAACAATAAAAGTCTAACTTTTATAACTGCTATTGTGTTTAGTTTTATTGTAAAGATAGTGCACATTTATCGCATATAATTTGAAGATGCAAGAAAGTATAAATCAATAAATATTTCACCTATAACATCACTCTTTAGAGATAATCAATATTAGTACATTAATCCCTTATTTCTGTGTAGTATTAGTCTTTACACAGTTCAGAGCACATTTAATATACCTGAACTTACAACCATTCTTTCCCTTGCTAATCATCTTCCATGGATTGGTTTTATTTTCTCATTATTCATTGCTTTCTTTCTTTCTTTTAGGTAATAGAAATCTAACATTGTTTTGGAATGAATTTGGATACCAGAATAACAAGGACAAAGAGAAATCTTTAGAGTCTATTCAATACCAAAGAAGACAAGCTATGGCTATCCCAATCATCATGCAATGTGGTACTGAATTCTATTGTAATTAACAAATATTCACAGGTTTCCAATATGTACATTATGGTGTTAAGAAATGGTGGATTAGAGACAACATTCTTGCTTTCAAAGAGGTTATAGTCTAAGAGAGAGGATAAAATAATTGTAATAGAAAGAAACTTAGGTAAATGAAATAATAGAAGCAAAGAGTTCTTTGAAAGTACAAAGAAAAAGAGTGGGGCAGCAGAGGCAGGACTTCATGACAGAGGAAGCATTTGTAATAACCTTTAACATAGGATTTTGATAACAGAGATGAAACACAAGGAAATTTGAATTAATATCTGGTGCATACTTCAGCTAAAATATTTGTTATAGAGAAATTGAAATAGCATTTTTTCTATGCACTTAATGTTAATATGTAACACTATGTCTCAAACATAGTAGGAATTTTGTGATTGATAACTGAATGTATGAATGGTGAATAAATAATAAAAGACAAAAATAATACATTGGGCAAATATGTTAGAGGACCTTGAATCCTAGGATGACTTTTTACTTTGGTAAGTAATAGGGAAATATTGGAAGTCTTTCAATAGGAGAGCAACATCCTTGAGTCATTGAGCACTTGATATGTTTTCTAGCCACTGAACAAATGGCTGTGGAATTAAAGGCAATCTATTTGCTGCAGCAAACAGTCCAGTGGGTAAGACAGACAAGTGTTAGGAAGGCACGTCCCCAGCCTTTCTCCTGGTACATTCTAGGAAGGATTGGACTGGTCTGATGTAATTTGTAAAAAGGCAGTTCAGTGAAGAATGATTTGCTGGAGAGCCTAAACAAAGGGAAGGATCATGTCTCAGATGATATATTACTGTTGTAATCTAAGATCGAGGGGAGAAGTCATAAATGTCTGAATTAATGTGTGACAGTGATATTGAAGATGAACATGTATGATAGATATTTAGAACATATGGCTGAGGAAATAGATGATACTATGTGACAACCTACTAGATGACAGTAATAATGGCTGACAATTACTGTGTATTTTTCATGTGCTGCCAGGTACTGTTAGAATCCAATTTCCAGTACCTGAGAGCTATATGAAATAGGGGCAATTACTTGACCTCTCAAAGGCTCAGTTTCCTGATTATAAAATGAGGCTAACACTTGGAGTTATTGTGAGCATAATATGAAATAATAAGTGTGATGTTTATTAAAAGCTTGGAAGTATCTAGCAATTTGGCTTTTATTATTATAATGCCATTTCATCCTCAATAACTGTTTTAGATAAGTACTAAGATTAATCTATTTTTACAGATGATTTTCTGACACACAAAGAAATTAAGTCATTTGCCCAAGATCATAGAGGTTGTAAGAGGTGGAGCCATTCAGTTTCTCAACCACTGTGTAGACTGTCTCAGCGTTAGATGTAGAGACCAACTGTTTACCTAGGAGCTGGTAGCACTGTGTCAAGAGGGAATCTAGGATAAATTTTACTGTGGTCTAAAGAAAGTGGAGTGTATAGGCAAGGAGGGACCATAGGGTGAAAATGGACAAAGAAGTCAGACACTTCAGACTGGAGAGTGAGAGAAGAGCAGAGAAGAAAATGTGAAATGACTCAAAGACCTTGACTTTCTTTGTTACATTAGTCATGGAGTTGGAGATAGAAAGTGGTACTGTCAGCATATGGGTAATTGGAAAATGGAGTGGCAGGAATTCTTCTTGTAGGTTCTTTTTGATTAAAAGTAACAGAAACCAACAAAAGAGAATTGAAGCAATGATGATAATGATGATGATGATAAAACTTGGTGGGATCCTAAAGTAGCTCACAGCATCTTAGAATAATTTTGCCATTAATCACAACTATTATGAAGGATTCACTACTTTTTCTATGTGCATATTGATATCATATAATAGATTAATTTTTGATTGTGATCTCTTTTGTGTGATTTTGTTTTGTTTATCAGATCTTTGCCTTAAATGGAGAGTTTTGCCCTCCTCTACTAATTATCAGGAAAAAGAATTTGTTGACATGTGGATTTGTGCTAATAATCCTAATCTCTCAGAAAACAGGTAGTTTTTGATAATTTTCCTAAAATTCTTCATTAATTTTTAATTGCTAAAGTCTGTATTATGAAACTGGAAAATGTTGGCTATAGATAGATTTTAGCATAGTAGCTGGTTTCTCTTCAAAGTCTTTCTAGCCCTTGATTACCTACAAAAAGATTATTTTGCTTGTTTGCTTTTCCATCCTAAAAGAGATCTGGACGTAATGATCTGCAGACGTCAGGGTGTGTGTGGCTTTCTACTTTCACCAGCAAGAGACTATGGCCTCCTGAGTTCTGCCTTCCAGTTCATTTTCACACAACATACAAGAGTGTAACTCAGAGGGCATATCCAGGAGCATTAAACTGTTAGACCATATTTTTTCTATTTAAGTCGTATATTGATTTTATTGCTTTATGTTTTGAAGGAAGAAGTTCAGACTAAAACAGGAAAAAGACTGATTAAATATTGATGGATGTCAATGTTATTACAAGTCTTTTTAGACTAATATTCTTTCCCTAGAGAAAAAGAGCTAGCATGCCGCTTAAACAAAGGCATCCCTAATTCAAGCATTGCTTTTCTGTGCAATCTATTCTAAATCCTCTGGCTGGTGGATAAGTGGATCAATGTTGCTAATATAGACATTAAGGTAATAATTCTTGTTGGGTTATTTTTATGCAGTTCTGGCAAAAAAAGAGCAAAAATTTAAAAAGTAAAACATGAAGAAAACATCCAAAAGCTGCTGTTCAAACCCTTTTTGCCTGAAGTCTCCAGGTTAATTTTATTTAGAGACTGAAGAAAAATGTCAGAGGTTGCAAGAACTCTTATATTTCACATGGCTTAAGAACTTTTCACTCTTGCTTTCTTATTCAGCAACATGACCTGCATTTTTCCAAAATAAAATTTGTCACAGAACCAAAATACATTACAAAAGATAAATGCAGAACTGTCCTAATTAAATTGTAGGCAGGAAACTGGGGACCAAATGTAGCACTTCCATTTCTGTTCCCTACTGTCTAATTTCTGCAAAAGGCCCAGCACTTTAGAGAGCATCATTACAGTGTGGTCCAGTGTCACTTCTTTATTTTAGAAAAGTTAGAATGGAAACCCAATCAGGACAAAGTAACCTCTTCATTAGTTACTGGCCAAGATCTTCTGACTGCTAACCAGACTCTATGCCTAATTTAGAATTTAACTCCCAAATAACAACAAAGTATGGGCTCAGTTTCAGTGTGAATAGTTAATAATCATAATCATTTACTGTGAGCTAAGAACTTTTCATACAGCATAAGATAGTGTTTAGAGTCCAAACTCTGGGGCCAGACTGCCTGGTTTTAACCCTGCCTCTACTCATTGTAAGACCTGAGACAAATGATAAAGCCTCTCTCACCTCCTCTTTTGGTTTTGCAGTCCTGGAGATTAAGGGGTTAAACCTGAGAACCTCAAGCTAGGCAAGTGCTGTACCACTTGAGCCATGCCACTGGTTTTTTTTTTTTGCTTTTAGTTTGTTTTTTCAAATAAGGACTCCTGCTAACTTTGCCCAGGCTCTCAGACCTCCATCCTCCTTTCTCTGTCTCTGGACTAACTGAGATCACAGGTATTTGCAATCATGTCCCACTTAAAACCTCTCTTCAACTCAGTTTCTGGTCCTCTAGAATAGGGTATAACAATAGTACCTTGATGCATCTTCTTTGGGACCAGCTGAACCCCTTATCAGGATAATCTGCTGAAAGTGCTTGGTCTCCTGGGGTCCTTATTAACAAGCCACCAGGATTTAGGCCACTCACCATGGATCTGAACACCAGCCTATGATTTATTAGTCCAGTCTTGGACATTGTCAGCCCCACAGACCTAGGAATGTGCTCTTTACAGCTTCCTTTATTTCTACATCACCATTGTCCCTGAATTGGTATGCTCTTCTCTTTAATAAGTAGTGATACCATCACAGAGCACTGCAGAATTATTTTCAAAGCTTTGCTAATTCTGTCTCTTTTACCCATCCAAATAATGTCATTTGTGAAGAGAGGAAAGATAAATTTAGTTGTGTCAACAGAAATTGATGGACCTTAAAAATCTAAAATGCAAAATTGCTTCTGTTTATGATGTTTTCTTTAGTCCTTAATTCTTTAAATACACTGACATAATATTGACCATCTGTGTTTAACTTCCACTGAAAAGATTATGACAAAATATGCGTAAAGTAGCAGCAGAAGGTTCAGAAAAGATGTAAAGAAAAAGTCCTGCTCATGAGGGCAGTTTGCTGAGTGTTGGCACTTCCTGCTGTTACCAGTAGCGTAGAGACGATGTCACCCTAAGGAAGAGGAATTCAACTGGTGACTGGGCTCAGTCCTCTGATTCAATATCCTAAGTTTGGACACATATCAAAGGATATATATGCCTTGAAATATGTCCTGAGATATATGAACTATTAGGTTTGGATAGAATCATAAAATAAGTGCATTAAAATGATGAGAAATGAAGTATGGTTACTTAATAGACAAAGTCCTTGTGAGTACAGGGACAGAGTAATGAGGTGAAAAGTGGCATTGTCTGTACTTACAGAAAATACAGCTCATTGTCAGCAGCTGTGGTCAGGAGGGTTAATGTCAACAAACAGCATTTGAATGAACCAGAACTTGGGCCAGAAACATACTAGCATTCTCTTCTATTGTATATTATATCACTCTATCTTTACCAAAGCTCTGTGAACTTTCCCCATTTCTCAGAGGAGAAAATAGAGAGGCTAGGAAAAGTTCAGTAATTTGCTTGGGATTCCTCCCCATAGCTGAAACTGGAAGCCAAGAATATGATGCAAAACCTGTTCTGTTTCTGCTTTACCAGCCTCTCTCAGAAGGCATCCTTTTACATTCCAGAAAACCTAAATCCACTTGCTTTTTAGTGACCCAAACCCAGACCAGGTAAAATGGAGCCAGTTTTTTCACAATACTAAAGTTTCATTTTGTTTTCCGCTTCAAGCACAGACGGAGGCTATACATTTTTGTCACAGTACGTGAAAAACAGATATCAGTACACTCTCATGACATTCATGCTATGCACTTATCTTCATTGAAAGTAGGGATCACCAGCAGGGTAAAAATGATGCCTATTACTTGACTGAACCAAAAGTGTCTGAATTTTGAAAAGGCATTAATAATGTTTATGGGTTGTATTGCATATTAAAATTTATTTTTAAAAAATCTTTAAATGAAGACAATTAAGTGAACTGCACCACCATAAAATATTTAAGTTGTCCCTCTTCTGAATTAAAAATGTAATGTTGCCACAAGGTTCTTTTCTCAAATGAAATACAGGCCTATATAGGTACTACCCCATAAAATCCACACTGTGGGTGGCTGTATATATAGTAGCTGTTCCCAGGATTTGTTTATCTAGCACCTTTCATTGAAAATAACAGTAATAGCAAACACCATATGTGGGTGGAATTAAGTGTTTTTTCACAGTAGTTACTGAATTTGATTGTAGTTCCTCACTCTTCTCTGTTGGTAGGGGGCAAGAAAAATATATGTTGCTGCCCTAAAAAACAGAGCAATGGTGGCTTTTATTGCTTCAGTTTTCCTTCACTGTTTCAGATGGGGGAAGCCCATCTCAGCTTCCTTCTCCCTCTCCTGACCTAACACACATGCATTTTCTGCAAACGTTGACCCTCTCTTCTCATTTTGGTAACTTTGTCCTAAATGGAACTCCTCCCACTTATCAATAATAGAAAACTCTTTGACCTAGGACAGGCTCAAAGAACTGAACTCAACATTTTTATGCCCACTACCACACATTCCTAGCCATGCGCTGAGTCAGAGCTGTGCTCACAGGGGGTTGAACTTCATATCCATATCAAGCCTTAATATCAAAGTGAAAAAAAAATCACTTAATTTTTTTTAACAGCTTGGCTAGCTCAGCACTCCAGATATAGCCTTAAAAACAAAAAGAAGAAAAAGAATGGCCTCAAACCTTCCAAACCCTGTCTTTAAAGTCTTAGTAATTTTTGTTTTGTAACCAAAATGAGGAAAATGCATATCCACATCCATAGTCTGTTCCTTGTTCACTAACATGTAACTCTACACAATTATGTAATAAAAAAGGCTGAAAGGCAGGATGACTGCCAAATGCAGATATTCTGACAATGACAGGGCATTTGGGAAGGATGCTACAGACAAAGTCATTCAGAACTTTTTGATGAAGGAATTTTACAAGTCTTCATAACCCCGAAGTTTGTCCCATGAGTTCCAGAGACAGAATTATGTAACATATTTTAGAGAGATGTATAGATTTCTACTCCAAAAATATTTTTTGTGAGTGTGTGGGAAATGTTTGGCAGTAATGAGGGTAAGTCTCAATGAACCAAAAAAAAAAATTTTTTTTCAAAAGACTCACTTCAGGAAAATGTAGGATAAGTGAACCATTAGCAAAACAATTAGTATTCTACTATCCTCCTAAACATATGCTACCCTCCATATTTTCCATTTAGCTCTTTTCCATGCAAATGGAGATTTAAGGTCATGTATTACCAAACATCATCCATATAATGATCTCCCTTTATATTTGATTTTACATATATAACAGAAAATGTAACTTCTTGTAGAAGTAAATCATCTTTTAGAGATAGCAAATAGTTTCATATTTCTTCCTGATGTTAATCTTTTACTTTTTGATGTGAAGTTGTCATCAGATAGAATATCTACCTTCCATCCCCCTGGGCACCATGGGCACAGTCTCATCATCAAAAAATGAGAAAGAGAAGCAACTTAGAGAGTCAGTCCAAAGGTATCAAAACAAACTGGCAGAACTGCAGCCACAGGTGAGCTGTTATTAGTTCTTGGTAATTCAACTGTTGGTTTTCTATGTGAAAATTGACTAATATGGTTTACCCAAGTGAAATATGTAGCCTCCTCTATCTTTTCTTTTTACTATTTCCTTTTAATTTTGTATCTAAAAACTATTCTAGAGGGTGAGTCCAGAGAAGGGAAGAAAGTTCTCTGCATGTGTTATCAAAGCCCATCTTTATAACAATGCACATGAGGAATACGGGCATTTATTTCTTCTCTACAGCTGTACATAGAAATTCATAGAGCTCAGGCACCATGTCTAATGGTCAGGATGAGAACACAAGTCTGTATGACTACAAAGGTTATGCTATTGTTATTCCAGTAGGCTTCTTCCCTGAGGGTGGACGTTTTTATGTAAAGAGATCTTTTAATCAGTATTAGCCTACTAATACAGAAAGTCAAGCCATATTCAATTTTTTAAAAAAAACTCAATAAATAAAACATTACTGTTAGTGAACATAAGTAAGTATGACAATATTGGGTGAAAGAAAATGTGACATGCAACAAATTACTTCAGTTTTTAACTAATAAATTAGTTAGATTTCTGTTTACTTTATAGACTTGGCACTCAAATTCAACCTTTTAAACTTTATATACAGCCTGTCAGTTTTCTCAAGTAAAATTTGAGGTCAGCAGCATGTCCAGCGTGTGTTGATTCCTCTGTAGATGTCAGGAATTAAATACTCACTAGAATAGAAAATTCAGTGATAGAGTGAGAATCAAACCTTCCAGGCTAAACACATTATTACATGCATTCCTGGGCTCCCCACAAGATAAGAGTTTTATCCTCTTACCTTTCCTGTCTTGCTAGGGATCTGCAGTTCAAATCAGCTACCAACTGAGTATCAAAGACTCTTGCCTCTCCCCGTTTAGCCTGGAGTCTTAGCCTTTCCTGGGAGGTACTGAAATCAGTAGAAACATTCTCCTAGGCACTCTTGCTTTCAAAAAGCAGCTCAGCTTTCTACAGTCCATAGAGCTTCTGGTTGTTGGTTTTATAACAAAAGTCAGAAGTAAAACTATCAGAGCCTGTGATTATATTATTATTTAGAAAGTCAGTAGATTGAGGTCTTTGCATTCTGGAGTATCTTAATTTGTTTTGTTTCTTATTTACTGCTCCTTATAGATTTGTGAAGGAATTCAGCAAATCCAGAATTCTTCGCTGTCTCTGGGGTTTTTTCTCTTTGATTTAGAGGTCAGAGCTGACTTTTGGATATTAATAGTGAATGTTTAATTAGCTTGTTGTTTGTTAAGGACTGGACATTTTATTTGATGGCATTTATTTTGATGGCAGCTAGGTGATGGAATAACAGGTTTGGGTCGTCAGTTCTACTCATTTTTTTCTTTCTTGATAGTTGGTTTTCCCATAAAAATTTAAACCAGGGTTACACATTCGGTTTGCTTCAAATGTAACAAAGAATTTTAGGAGTACTTATACAGAAGTCTACTGGCATTAGTTTAAAGACTGTAAGAATCCTTACTCTCCTCTCTGTTCCTTTCCTAAAAGAAAAATGTCACAAAATCTGCTCATGAAAATAGTCCTAGAATCTTTAACAAACTTTCCAGTACTCTGGGCCCTTAACTGACCCAACACAGGCAGTGAGTTAATTCTCAGGTGGTCATTGAGCACATACTTCTCTTGAATCCATTTCAGGCTAGGCCTTGTGGGAAATTCAAAATAACTAACACTGGAATGTAACCTCCATAAGGCAGAGATAGTCTCAGTTTTACTAACAGTGACTTTTTCTTACCCAAAACAGAACCTGGCATGTACTAAGTACTCATTAAATTGTTGTTGAATCAATAATATACAATTTTTTTTAAATTACTTATTTATTTTTATTGTGCTGGGTGGGGCTACGTCATAGCATTTTAAAAAGTTCTTAAAATATATCACATATATCATACCTGAATTCAACCTCTCCATCATTCTCATTTATCCCCTCCCATTCCTGTACCAGTTTCAACATGTCTCATTTTTCCATTCACACACATGTGTACACAGTATTTGCACCATATTCATCCTCCCACACCCTTCCCCTCCTTTCCCCTTCCACTGGTACCAACCCCACCAGGTAGGACCTGTTAGAACCTCCTATTCTCTGATTTTGTAAAAGGAAAAAAAAATAACATTTTTGTTTGTTTAAGATAGTTTCAAAAGGAGTTTCCTTGTGACATTTCCATGTATGTATGTATTATAACCTGAATTGGTTCATCTCTTCTATTTTTCTTCTTTCTACCTTAGCCCCCTTCTTATGGTGATTTCAGTAGGTTTAAAAATTCTATATTCATTCGTGTTTAGAGAGTACATCAACCATATTCACCTTCTTAAGTAATTTCTTTTACCCTACCCCTCTTTTATGTGACCTCCCCTTAGTGTGATCTGTTTTTCATAATATTGCCGTATTTGTATTAGGTCTATATTCCGCATGAGAGAAAACATGCAGCTTTTGGCCTTCTGAGCTTGGCTAACTTCTCTTAAGATGATGTTCTCCATTTCCATCCATTTACCTGGAAATAACAAAATTTTAATCTTTGAAATAAAAGAATAAAATTAATAAAATTCCATTGTTGGTAAATACTACATTTTCTTAATTCATCAGTAGTGGGGCATCTTAGCTGTTTCCATAGTTTAGCTCTTGTGAATAGGTTGCAATAAACATGGTTGTGCAGGTGTCTTTGCTGTAACCTGACTCACATTCCGTCAGGTATATCCCTAGGAGTGGGCTTGCTGGGTCATATGCTGGTTCTAATTTTAGATTTTTTTGAGGAGCCTCTATATTATTTTCTACAGTAGTTGTACTAATTTATATTCCCACCAGCAGTGCATGAGGCTTCCTTTTTCCCCAGATCCTTGCCAACATTTGTTGTTGTTTGTGTTCTTGATAGTAGCCATTCTAACAGGAGTGAGGTGGAATTATAATGTGGTTTTGATTTTCACTTCCTTTATGGCCAGGGATGTTGAGCATTTCTTCATGAGTTTTTTTTTTTTTTTTTTTTTAAGCTATTTGAACTTCTTCCTTTGAAAAAGCTCTGCTTGGCTCATTTGCTCATTTCTTCATTGGGTCATTGATTTTTTGAAAGCTTAGTTTTTTTAGCTCCCTGTATAATAATATATAGTCTTTATAGAAGTCTAATAACTATTTAAAATCAGTTACCACTGTACAACAATATTATTTCAACACTTGTCTGATAATACCTGAAACTGCAATAGCAGTTTATTACAAGGAGATTGTGAGGACAGCTTCAGTCAAAGAAAGTTTCATAGAGGTAGTAACCCTGAACTTGTGTCTTGGTCTATTTAGGGCAAGTTTAGGGAAATGGACAGAGCTTTCTAGGTGAAAACAATATCAAAGAAGACTTGGAAATGAGCACTGATTTGTTCCTTCAAGGAACTGACCTTTTAAATTACACATTAAACTGAAGTATTAAAAAAAAACTAATATTTTTGTGGTATATCAATCTCTTAATAACAGAGCAATTCATAAAATACGGCAATTACTGAATAGAAGACTTCTGAAAAGTCACTTGAATTTCACATTCACAAAAACAATGTACAAAAGTGTCCGAAAACTATTTCAGTGATGTCTGTGTGATGTCAGAAACAAGACTCAAATTCATGCAGTGTTTTGTGTGAATTTGCTGTCTTCCTGGGTGGCCTTTAGAATAAATATTCTCAGCACATGATATGAGCAAGGGTGGGAAAGCTAGAGAAAACAGAGCATTGGCCTCATTCAGGTTGGATTGAGGTGTAGGCTGGACACCACAGGAAAATCAAGAACTGGCTCATTTACTATGAAGATTCACGATGTTAACTTAATTGGTAGCATTCATTTGTTCAGTCTCTCAGCATGAGGCCACCATAAACTATATTCCCTGCAATTATGCCCTGGCCTCCTCCTATTCTCTCTTCCTACTTCCTACTGCTGACGACCACTAATCCACTGGCTAGATGTTTTTGTTTTTTTTTTTTTAATTTACAGTACTGGGGATTGAACCAGGGTCTTGCATATGCTGGCAAACACTCTATCTCTTGAGCCATACTCCAGTCTTTTCATTTTGTATTTTGTTCTAAAAGGGTCTCACTAATTTTTCTTGGGCTGACCTGAAACTCATGATCTTCCTGATCTCCACTTCCTGAGTAGCTCATGTTACAGGCATGAGCCATTGCTCCTGGCTGCATTTCAGCTTTAATGGAAGCTGGTGTCCTGATCTGGAAAGTGTAAGAATGACCCAGTCAATCAAAGAACTTCCTGGATCTTAGGTTCTCTGGTTCTGTGCCTGCATCACTGACAACCAGAAGAGTAGAAAGAAGATAGGAACAGTAATATATTGGTACTCCTGTCAGAAATTAGCAGCTATAGTCTCTGTCTCACTCCACACACACTCTACATTTGTATTAACTGATAAAGTAAGTGTAACTTCCAAGAGCACCTACACATGACACCATCATTACAGAGGACCCATGAAAACTATTCTGGTAAAAGAGGTATCCTAATGGTTAGGTTAGATCTTGCCCTCTGTGAAAAAATTAGTAGCTAGGTCCAAAAGTATCATTTCTACATGGTAACATATTTAATTCCTGTAACACTCCAGCTAGTTGTATCCATTTTAACAAAAGAGCAAAGTGAAGTTGAATCAAGTCACATATCTTTTAATGGTGAAGTCAGCATTTGTTTCATTTTTTTGCCTACTGCCAGCACCATTTTGCTCAGTCTCATAGAATAGACATAGACAGAAAAGACATAAGAACATTTATACAGTAACAAACTGATTCATTGCAAATCATATTTGTTAAAGGAAATATTTAAGTACAGTAAACCTAATAAGAGAGCTCAAATTCAAGATCTCTCAGATGTGGTGCATTTTATAGAGCAAAGGGGTTGCCTTCAGAAAAATTGCTCGGCTGTGTCGATCAGCCAAGACCCTCGTTATAGATTGTGCTGGAATAGCCTGTTTCAATTTTTGTTCTGAATAGGGTGAATAATCTGTGCCCAACTCCACTCTCTGCTTCATTCATTACCTGCTGTTCTCTATACTGAGTGACAAGTGCCACCTGCTGGCCAAATGAAACATTTTTATTTTCATTGTGTCACTTCATTGCTAGGTTACTTGGCAAATTAACTGAATAATTGTTATTCTACTTTT